GATTAATTAAACATTTGGCTTTTGGTTTTCTTCACCTTCATACTCAAGATGGACAACAATGAAGTCAGTTCTAGCTTTTTATTTTTTGATTACTCAGAAAGAATGATCTTGCTAGCGTACAGTACCCTGTACTCTCAAATAACCAAGGTATCAGCTACATACTTTCTAACCTGGTACAATCTTTCTTCATTGTTTCTGAATTGTACCCGTTGTTCTAATTTTAAAAAAAACCAACATCTGTCAGGGATTTGGTGACATTAGACCAAACTTCTTCTAAGGCCCAGCCTCACCATCAAAACACACCATTTTGGAGGACAGCTTTCAGCCACAAAGCTCCGGTCCATGACATACTGGGATCCATGCAGTTCACGTGGAGACCCCTCAGCTTCCTCCAGCGTTCTGGAGAGAGATACCCCAGAGAAAAGCTCACATGTGACATTTTAGACCTCAATACCCTCTGTGCATCGGGGCTACGATAACTTTGGGAAACTGTGTCTATAACCTCAATTACTGTTAATAGCATGAACCCACCAAGTAGTTGTTTCTTTGAAAACTGTAACAAGTCTACGTGTATCCACATCATCAAGAATAATCAGCAGATTCTCTGGTAGGCAGAGGCAGTTTTTCCTACAGCTCGGGAGACGACGGAGAAGTGGAAAGAATGGGAAATTGTGAGCAATGCGATTAAAAAGCCAGAAATAAGAGGAATTTTTAAAAGGACTGGCGGAAAGACAAATGTGGAGGACACACAGGAATTATTGTCTGGGGAGGGGAAAGACAGACAGGCTGTTGCGGTGGTCTCAGCGCTCCTCGCTGCCAGACTAACCAGGATCACAGGGAGACAGTAAAGAGAGTAATATGAAGAAAGAATAATATAAATCAAGTGCTATTGCACTCAGGAAGTTTATTCAACACTCTTAACTTCCCTTGGGGTTTATAAGTTAAGAAAAGCAATGCTGAAGTCAGGAGTTCTGAAAAAAAACCGAACCAAAACAAATCCCTGTTAGCTTATCTATACCACATCCCTCAAAAAGATTTGCAGCGAAAGGCTCGGCCTTTGGCTGAAATACTGGCATTCGGGGTGGGGGGCAATTCAAAGAATCTGAGGTAGGTATTTTAGGACTGAAGCTGGGCAGTGGGACACAGTTTTCAGGAGGACCCGTCACAGGGAGCTTCTGCATCGGGGAAAAAAACGTTTGCATGCCGACTAGCAGGGAAGTCAACTGCCACCAGCTCAGATTCGATTCGAGAGAATTAAAACGTGCCCGAAGCGAGGGACTCTTCCTCCCGCGGGCGGCCTGGCGAGGGGCCCGGCAGGGGCGCCCCG